ATTTATGTTGCTCATATATTACAGCCATTATCTCTTTGGTTACTTGAAAAGCTATAATAAAAGTAGAGAGAAATTAAATTAAAAGCATTCTTAAGAGAACTTATGCCAGACATGTTTACTTCCTCAGTTTCAGCTCTTTTGCCAGACGAGACAATGGTAAAAACATCTGTAGCCTCTAACTGAATCATGTGAGTGATCATGGATTAGTTAAGAAAGAGCAACTCAGGAAATAGAAATTCCAATCTGATGTAATTTCATGATGTCAAACCATTTATTATGCTTTAAGGTATCTTGATTCTGTACCTTTAAAAATTGGGAAACAAATAACTACTGAACAGTGTGGAAAGAATGAAAGAGAAACAGAAACAGGCCAGGCATTAGAAGGTCTTGTTTTCTAAACCCAGCTTTATCACTTAAAAAGCCATGTTAATTTAGATTAATTTAGACTATATTTTCAGAGACTGTCATTTTTTCTCATCTATCAAACATAGATAACAGATATCTTATTTACATTATGAAAGTGGCAGGAAAGAACAAATAAAATAACATTGATAGAAGAACTTTATAAATTTCAAAGTGCTATGCAAATGTAAGTTATAATTTCAGAAACAACATCAGGGCTTTGCTATAATACCTTCTGTTGCAGCATGGAATTCATCATATGCTGCTCTATTTCAGATTGTTCAAAGGAGTATGTCAGTGGCAAGGCTGCATCATATTCATATGTGCAGGAATTTCTAGGTTGGTATTATAATGAAATTCAAAGGATACTTATTTTAGAATTCTATTTTTGTTAAATCACATATATACTATTTCAAGGACTTACATTTGTTTTGAGAATTCTCAGATTTTTCCTCACTCATTTGTTTCCTATTCCTTTTACCACAAACTCCACCCTCATCTTGCCCTCCTGAACAGTAAGTTAAAATAAATGTTTATAGAAGAACCAGAGGTCATCTTTATGTTCCAGATCTTCTGGATGCCTTCAGCCCAGTCAAGGGGATATGAAATGAGTTCATGGTGCTGCTCTAGCCATGGTAAAATATAGCCCAGCAATGGCTCATTTTCCTTGGTCCACCCCTTCTGAAATCAGGCAAACACCAGGCATATCTAGGGAAAAGTTGAACTCCTTTTATTTTTTGTAAATCAAAGCATTCTTCATAATATCAGTATCAATCTTCAAATCCATATGTCTATCTCTGATCTTTCCTTAATATTCCAGACATCTACCTGCATATTTGAGGGTCCTTGCTGATAAGTAGGTTAAGTATAAGAAGGGTAAGGGATATAGGACAATTCCTATCCTCAAGGTCCTTGCTGGGTACTATAGGAAATCTTATACAGGGTTGTTGCTTTGGAGGAAGCAGATGAGCAAAACTGAACTTCTCTCTGCTCATTTCTACTAATTACAAACACATTGTATATACAATGTATTCATGATCTGCACAAGTAGTAGCTTAGGTAGATCAGTGTTTTTTTCTCTACTCAATACAAAACATATCTTTAAATTTTTTTTTTTTTAGTCACTGATGGACCGTGATTTAATTTATTTATTTGTATGTGGTGCTGAGAATTGAACCCAGGGCTTCACACATGCCAGGCAAGCACTCTACCGCTAAGCCACAACCCCATCCCCACATTATCTTTTTTTAAACACATTTTTTATTTGTAAGTGGACACAACTCCTTTATCTATCTATTTATTATCTATCTATCTATCTATCTATCTATCTATCTATCTATCTATCTATCTATCATGTTGAGAATCCAACCCAAAGCTTCAAATGTGCTAGGCGAGCACTCTACCACTGAGCCACAACCCCAGCCTCCCCAAACACATTATCTTTTAAAAATTTTTTTTTAATTAACCTTGTAATTCTTTTTTTTTAGTTGTAGATGGACATAATACCTTTATTTTTTTAATTTATTTTTATGTTGTGCTGAGGATCGAATCCAGTGCCTCAAATGTGCAAGGCAAGCACTCTATGGCTGAGCCATATCTCTAGCCACTGGACCTTTATTTTATTCATTTATTTATATGCAGTGCTGAGAATTGAACTAGTGGCTAACATAGTCTAGGTAAGCACTCTATCACTGAGCCACAATCCCAGCCCTAATACACATTATCTTTTAAGTGAAATTCATAGTACCCTATTTCCCTTTACATTTCAAGTTGAGAAGAGAATAATTAGAGAGATTGGGCCAGGGCTTATAACTTTCAGGTATTGGCTCAAATGAGGAGAGTTCTAGAACTATTAGTGTTTATTCAGTTTTGCAGAACAAATACCCTGGTATTAAGCATCACTGTTAAAAGATTCCAATTTATGAAATCTCAGTTATTGTGTGATCTTGTTACTTAATTTCTCTAGGCCTATTTCTTTCTTTGTAAAGTGGAAACACTCATATTTATTTGATAGGTTGTTGCTAAGATTTTATGAGATAGAGCTTGTAAGGTAATGCCTAGCGAGTGAAAAGTTTTCAGTAATATGTGCTTTTCCCCAAGACTGATTAAACTATCAATTAATTATTAATTAAATAATATTTTTAGACTGAAACATTATACAAGCCAAGGTCTTAGTAACTTTTTAGACATTCTAATTTTAATCATCCTGTGTCATATTATTCCTACTTAAATTTTATACTTATTTACTGTTTCACTTCAACATCTTACAGAATTTAGAACTACAAGAATAGGGAAGAGGGCTGGGGATGTGGCTCAAGTGGTAGCGCACTTGTCTGGCATGCGCAAGGCACTGGGTTTGATCCTCAACACCACATAAAGATAAAATAAAGATATTATTAAAAAAAGAATAGGGAAGAAAAACAAGGGAAAGAAGGGATTGTGACAATGAATTATTGCTGTGGGGAAAGTTTCCTCCAAATTGGATAGTTTATAAACAATACATACCACACAAATGTCATGCTTGTATCCAACCTTTCCCCCAAAACTTTTAAATTGCCAAAGCAACCCCCCCGCCAAGTAATACATAATCTAACAAAGATTAATCGATTTTTGAAAAAGGAAGAGAGAGAGCTGGGCATGGTGGCATGTACGTGTACGTCCCAGATACTCAGGAAGCTGAAGTGGGAGCATTATTTGAGTTCAGGAGTTTGAAAGCAGTTTGGGCAACATAATGAGAACCCTGTCATCAAAATCAAACAAAACCACCAACAAAAACAAAACAAAAAATCCCGCCTCCCCCCCAAAAAAAAGTTTATTACTGAGATTTCTTTGCTTCTTTTTCCTTCCCAGTAGTGGGGATTGAACACAGGGCTTTACACGTGATAGGAAAGCACTCTACCTCTATCACTCAGCTACATCCATAGCCCTTCTGTATTTTTATTTTGAGGCAGGTTCTGGCTATGTTGCTCAGGCTGGCCTTAACTTGCAATCCTCCTGCCTTAGTCTCTACAATAGCTGGGATTACAGATGTTTCCCACTATGCCTGGCTATTAATATTCCTTTTAATGAGAAAAACCTATTACTTTAGGTAAATTGCAATGGTTCATAACTTTGGTGCCATCTGGTTTAACTAAGGAGTGACAGATTGTTTCAATAGGTTTGAGGTAGAACCTAAGACTATATCAAATAATTATGAATGCTCCATAGAGGATTCTAATCACCCCAAAGATTGAGAACTATGTGTGTAGTGGAAAAATCTACAGATCTGAAGTAACAAAACTTGAATTTTCTACTTGGTCATTTTCTTTGCTTAGCGTCTCATCTGTAAAAAAAAGTATCTTAGGTGAGATGAATGGTTTTCAACTCAGGATGCAAGACAGAATTCATGGGAGTACTGATGCCTGCAAGATTTCCACTCAGGTTCTGATGATCTGACTTGGGGTGGGGGGTAAGTTTTCTCAGGTGATTCCAATGTAATCTAAGATTGAGAAGCAATGGCTAGAACATCTTTAAGTTCCTTTCTACCCTAAAATCAGCTGATTTTGGTAACTAAATTAATCTTTGTTTCATTAAAATAAATTAAGCAGTTTGCCAGTCATCTGATTAGATTTTTAATTATTTAACTCAAAATATTTAATTCAAAATATGAAAATAAGTGCGTTAAAAAACTAGGGTTTGTTTGGGGCTGGGGATGTGGCTTAAGCGATAGCGCGCTCGCCTGGCATGCGTGCGGCCCGGGTTCGATCCTCAGCACCACATACAAACAAAGATGTTGTGTCTGCTGAAAACTAAAAGAAAATTAATATTAAAATTTCTCTCTCTCTTAAAAAAAAGGAATTAAAAAACAAACTAGGGTTTGAAAAATACAAATCCAATAAACAAGATGCTTCGAAAAATAGTGTAAAATCAAAATTTCGTGTGAGTAAGGCATAATATATTTCCAAGTGAATTAAATCTTAAAATTTAAAGAAAATACAAAAGTAAAACTGCATAGCCAGGAAATTGGAGTAGATCTCTGAAGAAAATCTGACAGAAAAACAACAAAAAAAAATTTATTTAGAGCTACTATCAGGAACTTAAAAAAAAAAAAGATAGACATTATGTCAGTGGTCTAACCAATGAAAACTGGTCTAGCAGATATTAGTGAGACGTTGGGGAAAAAGCCTGAAGGAAGGCCTTGCAGAGAAAGACAAGTTTGACCCCTTCCCTAGAGTTCAAGGGTGTAGTGAAATGCACAGGAAGCTGGGGTTTGAGGAAGAGAAGACTCCCCATCATCAATGAGGTCATTTAAGAACAATTTAGGTCAAAACAATCATGCAGATGTGCTTGAGAACTTGTATTAAATACAAGCATCACTAGACTCACTACTAGACTCACTACTAATTCACATAAGACTAGAAAGTTCATCCAAGAAACCAGGGAATGGTGCTGGGGTTTCTGTTCTCACGACTAAAAGGCTCAGGGGTCACTCTAGTTAAACTGGGCTAACTGGGCTGCATGAAATAACCACACAAGAGACACAAATACCTTTTTCTTTGGGGTTGCTGTGACGGCTCCTCTGACCTTAAGGGTCCACAGAAAGAGACAGAGCGAGAGCATGCGCTGACCCCTTTTATTGAGAAGCTATTCAAATGAGGCAAGGAGTCAGGTTTCAGGGGGCTGAGTGTATCTTCATGATGTCCACTGTCAGCAGGTTGACTGACACCTGGGTAGGCCACACCCAAGGGCACAGTAAGAGGAGGGGACACACACAAGGCACTTCCATGGAAGATTCTATCCTAAACAAGGCAAGGGGTTATATTATAAAGGAACAGGTCAGCATAGTTTCACCCATGGGGCTGTAGCAAGACACACCCATTTCTGTGACTGAGCGCCTCAGCACCCAGCTGGGGAGTGTAACTCAGTCACCCGGAAGGTTGGCCTCCCACACAATGGAATTAATGAAACTGTTTCTACTTGTATTACTTGGAACTAGTCAGATAATTGGATTTATTTATTTATTTATGGTACCAGGGACAGAACCTAGGGGACCCTTAACCACTGGGCCACATCTCTGCCCTTTTTGTTTTGATACATAGCCTCACTAAATTGCTTAAGGCTTTGTTAAATTGCTGAGGCTGGCCTCCAACTTGTAATCCCTTTGCTTTATCCTTCCAAGTTGCTGGGATTTCAGGCATGCCACCATACCCACTGTAGATGATTAATTTTGATATCTAATATTCCACATTTTTCTAAAAATACTGCTTACATGTTCATTGTGTAGAATATAAGGGAAAAAAAATGAAAATAGACCCCAACCTCAGCATCTTGATAGAAATTTGATATTCTGTATACAATTTTCCATATGTAGTTTGTATGAATTTGCATCATAAATTTAGTTGAACAAATTTATGGTGGGCAGAGGCATGATTTTTACCTCAGGTGAACATATTACTTTATAAAGTAAAAGGGAATTAAAGCTGCTGCTGGGGCTGGGGTTATGGCTCAGCGGTAGAGAGCTCTCCTCGATGTGCAAGGCCCTGGGTTCGATCCTCAGCACCACATAAAAATAAATAAATAAAACATTATATATATATAAAGCTGCTGCTGATTTGACTATCCTGTCTTAGCTATGTGCAAATGGAAGTGGTACAGAAAGAGACGGTTGGTCAGAGAAAGGTATTGGAAGAAGCAGAAGAGTTTTGAAAAATGAGAGGACTCAGTCTACCATTGCTGGCCTTTTAAGATGGAGTAAGGGGACAATGAGACAAAGAACATGGGTGACATTTAGAAGCTGGATATAGTCCTCAGGTGATAAGCCAGAAAGAAAATAACAAGGAACTGAATTTTGCCAACAACCTAAATGAAAAAGGAAATGGATTCTTAGAGTCTCCAAGGGAATACAGTCTAATATCTAGATTGCAGTTCTGTGCAATCCATTATCACATTCCTGACATATAAAACTGTGTGTTGTTTTAAGTCACTAAACCTGTGGTAATTTGTTACAACAGTAATAGAAAATGTACATAGCAAAAAAAAAAAAAATATCATCTTTGTTTCGTTTAAATCAAGGTTTATCCAGTGCTGAATTCACATTTTCTTGGATTTGCAGGATATTCAATCCTTATCATTATCATTATTTCTTCTCCCACTGAAGTATCCTCTTCTTCCCATAAGACCAGGCAAGGTTGTCTTCAAACCACACAAAGACCCATGGAAAGAAGTATAATGGTTAGGTTATCTACTTGAAAGATAAACAAAATATAAGTTAACATCTTACTAAAATGTCTTGCCACAGGTAAATTGGTTATATCTCATCAATGATATTTTATTCCCCTTCCTAGTGCCTTGGAATTTTCCAGAAGGTGGGTCACTGATAATCTTTATTCTGAAACCAAGTATGCCACTGGTAACATCACATTTTCTCAGTTTTTTCAAGATCAAAGCTCATAAATCTGGATAGTGGGTGATTTTCCTGCCTCCGAGAGGGGAAACTGACTCTCTTTTCTGACTATATCTTTTTTTTGTTGTTGTTACTAGGGATCTGGAGATTGAAGCCAGGGGTGCTTTACTACTGAGCTACATCCCCAGTCCTTTGTATTTTTTGTTTTAAGACAGGTTATTTTTTGTTTTAAATACAAAGGTATTTTTTGCTGATGCTGGCCTCAAACTTTTGATCCTCTTGCCTGAGTTGCTGGGATCACAGAGGTGAGCCACCAGGCCCAGATTAGGGGTTGTTCTTTAAACAGACCACATATATAACAATGGAAATAGACTATGCAAGATGAGAAAAACACGAACAAGGGAAAAAGTAGTGGGAGAGCTAAATGGCTGGATTTTAAATCCTTTGCAGGGTAGTCAATGATCTGATATGGATGTTAAAGAGAAAGCCAAAGATGACTCATTTGCTGTCTCACAGCAATGTTGGGAGCTTAGAGAAATCTTAAATGACTTAAGAGAATATTTCTTTTTTTTGATACTAGGGATCGAACCCAGGGACACTTACCATGGAGCCACATTCCCAGCCCTTTTTAAAATTTTGAGACTGGATCTTGTTGAGTTGCTATTGCTGGCCTCTAGCTTGCAGTCTCTGGCCTCAGCCCCCAAATCATTGGGATTACAGGTGTATGCTACGGTACCTGGAGAGAGCACATTTATGGAAACTAGAGAGGAGCAGATTCCTTTGGTTTAGATAGTCACACAAAAGTGTACTTATGCAGTTAACAAGTTGTTTCCCCACCAGGACATAATGGCATGTGTCTGTAATCCCAATGGCTCAGGAGGCTGAGGCAAGTGTATTGAAAGTGGGAAGCCAGCCCAGCAATTTAGTGAAACTCTCAACAACTTAGAGACCCTGTCTCAAAATACAAAATAAGAACCAGGGACACAGTTCAGTAATAATGCAATGCACCCCTGGGTTCAGTCTCCAGTACTAGGAAAAAAAAAAGGAAAGAAAAATTTAAAGCTCATTCTCCTAAATCTGTAGCCAGGGTTTATTTAAATTTTGGTTCATCTTCTTTCCTATAGTCTCTGTGTTTAATTTATCTCCCAATTCCAACTGGTTTAAGTGTCAATTCTTTTTCTCATCCTACTACCATCAAATGTGGCTTTTCCAGACATTTTCTAACCTTATATACGGTACTCCAAAAGAAAAGAGGGGTGTTGTTTCCAAGGGAAAATAGTGCAGAATAGCTGAAAACAACAACCCTGTATTCTATTCACAAATATTATTTTAAGATGACTGAGAAAACTGACAGAGAAACATTTTAAGAATTATAATATTACTCCATTATATTATTGGTAGTCCGTTTTATTAATTCTTCTTGACAAAAAAATTAATATAATTGTGTTCATAAAACAACTCACATGATTGATGAAAACCAAGTTTAATTCTTTAAATGTTGTATATTAGCAGAAATAACAGGAAACATTACAAATGAAAAGAAATCAGCACTCATTTTGGGCAAGAAGCATTTCTAACCTCATTCTAAGTAAGATTACATTTTGATTTTTTAAAAAACTGAGCTACCTGGCTATTTCAGTTAACCAGAAGCTATAAAACATTGGGGTAAGGTAGTTACCTTTTATGGTTTTTTTTCAACCATAAAACCCATATATACTCCAGTCCACGGCTCCTGTTGCATCTTGATCCCAAGGGTCTCGGACAATTTAAAAACTTCATTTAACAACTATTTGGTGTGTACTGTGGAAGAGTATGAAGAAATATCAAAGGATGGGGAACAGGACATAGTATGAAACAGAGCAGCAGAAGAGTTCTGTTTTCAGTAGGCCTTTGTTGGCCATTTAGCTACCAAGTACTTCAACTAGCTGCTAAAACTACTCTGGATGCACCTTACCCTGGGAATTCAGTAAATTCTTATAAACTGTAGCCAGAAGGTAGGAAATGCAGAATTCCATCTTATCCTTAGTTTTATGGGTATTACATTCAAATCTGGTTATCTGGAGTGCTTTGGGAGAGGACGCCCTTACCTGTCTTAGGGATGCGGCCTAATTTCACCTACAGTGCCACACAACTCATGCTTTCCTACCTGGTGGCACGTCCCAAAGGGCCCTGGCCAATAGGCTCGTTCCTTCCCCGCAGCAGGGCGGGACTCCAAGCCCTGGCACCGGAGACCCGCCCCCATACGTGGCGTGCGTGAATGCGTGCTGCGTGGCGCCAGCGGCGTAGGCTGGTTTTTATAGTGCGTAGCGCCCTCCAGCGTCAGTAAGTCCTCAATGCGACGGCCTGACCAGAGCACTGGCCATGGAGCCGCAGAAAGAGGCGCGAACACCCCCGGACCTCATCGTGAGGCCGTCAGGGGCCTTGAGGTCTCAGACGCTTAGTGAGGAGGAGCGGCAGGAGGGCGGTGCATCGCTGGTAGCGTCCACCTTGGGCGCAGAGGCCGATAGCGCGAGTGCGGATGGCCTGTGGGAGTTGCCTGTGGAGCCGGCTGAGCGGAGGCCCGAGTGCAGCCGCTGCAGGTGACCGCGGGGCCGGGGGGCGGGGACTACAGCAGGTGGCGGCCTTCAGAGGTGCAGCGCTCCCTGTCGGGTAGGAGGACTCTGGCAGCGCGGTGCTTGGTGCGGCAGTTTACCTTGGTGGACCTGGAGTCACTGAAAACGCCTAACATAGCTCTTTAGTAAGAAGCCACTTATTAGGTTCGATTATTTAGCCTGACGTCCAGCAAGATATTGGCGTATCATGGGATCATCAGGCATAAGTTCCGTTTCCAAGAAACTTGAGAGTCTGAGAGGGAGCTCTTAAAGGTGTAATGACAATACTTGCAGTGCTTAAGTAGCATAGTCTTCTTACAAAAAGCAAAGTAAAGCAAAACAAAACAACAACAACAAAATGGATTGGAGGAGAGGGACAAGCAAGAAGGCTACTACAATAATTAAGGTTGTTATTCAGAATTCTGTATTTATTTAGAAATACTTACTGAGCACCTGAAGTATGCAGGCTCTATTTTGGGTCCCAAGAAAGCAGTGATGAATAAAGTATAGTCCCTACTCTGCCTGGGGGTACTTAGAGTTTAATGGAGAGAAAGTTTTTTAGACAAGCAAAATAGCAACAACATTGAATGCTCATAAAATGTCTGTTTACATAGTTTTTGGGGTTACCTCCGTGGTCTGGTGTATTTTGGGATTGTGAAATTTGCTTCCTCTGCTTGGTTATTTTCAATATTTTCAGATATACCAGTCTTTTTACCTCCTGTGTGTACCTACAAGTCATCTCTTTCCCTGATTACAGCAGATCTCTATCAGTCATCAGCAACCTCCATGTGGATCCTTTCCTTTTTTTTTTTTTTGTCTGCTTTCCCTTACTTTGACAAAATACCTGAGATAATCAACTTAAAAGGAGGAAAGGTTTATTTTGGCTTATGGTTTCAGCTCATGGTCACTTGGCCCTGTTCCTTTGAGCTTGTGGCAGCACAGTACATTATGGTGGGGAACACTTGGAAGTGGAGGAGTCCTGTTCACTCCTGGCAGACCAGGAAGTAGAGAGAAAGAAAGTGGCCTGAGGTCCCAATATCCCTTTCAAGGTCATGTTCCCATTAATCTAATTTCCTTCCACTAGGTCCCATCTTATTTCCACTAGCCCCACTTCTTAAAGATTCCACCATCTCCCAGTAGTGCCATGGCCAGTAGCCAAGCCTTCAACACATGGACCAAACTAAATTAAACCAAACATTTCAGATCCAGACTAAACCATGCCTCTATTTCCTCACCTTGGAATCAAAATTGTGCAGTTTGCCATTAGATATAACACTGCCCCAAAATAGCTCTCACTAAAGACATCAGCAACATCCTTAGGGAACTTTTCCTTTATTTACCCCATGTTAGGGATTGAATATAGGGCTTTGTGCTTGCTAGGCAAGAGATCTGTAACTGAGCTACATCCCCAGCCTTTAATTATTATTATTATTTTTTTTAAGACTGGTCTCACTATGTTGCCTAGGCTGGGCTCATACTTGGTGATCCTTCTGTTTCTCAGCCTCTTGAGGAGCTGGTTTTACTGCACCTGGCTCACTTTTTACTCACTCTTTTGGCAGCATTCTGGAGTTGAATACTCACTTCTTGAAAACTTACTTCTTTGGTTTCCCTTTGATTTTATTTGGCTTTTCTAACTTAGTCTCCTTTGCCTATTCTATTCAAACTCTAAATATTTGGTTTCCTGAGATCTGAGTTCTAAGGTTTATTACTCTTCTAACCCTACACAGTTTCAACTTGTGATCTTACCAGGTTTCATGGTTAGGGATTGCCCATATCTCAGTTTTTCTAGCCCAGACCTTTTTATCTGAGCACCAGACCTACACATTCATATTTTATTGTCTTCTTTGCTAATCACTGACAATACAGTGGAATCCATGTCCATGTGAGTGTTTATTCTCTTACTGGATACAGACAATTAAACAGCAAATAATCATCCAAATGTGTAATTACAGACTGGGAAAAAAAAGCAATGATGGAAGAGAATGGGAAGCTATGATAGAAAATACCTAAGTGGTGTCAGAAGAGATCTCTGAAGAGATAACATTTCAGTGGTTCTGAATAGTGGTTCTGAATAGTAGTTCTGAATAGACTAAAGAGTACATGATAAAGCTTGCATAAAATCTTTAACCAAAGAGTCTTCCTTTCACCATTCTATTGAGTCCTCTTCCAAGATTTCTAAATGGTATCCTCTAACCCCCTTAGACAACTGGTTCAAATGAGCTTCATTCACATACTTCTTTGTGCAAAACATGGTCCTTTCTAGTCACAAATTATCCATTTGAAAACAGAGGTTTGGAGAAAAGCATTCTAAGATGAGCAGAAGGACAGAATGTGGTTGAATGTCTTTAAGAAGTACTTTACTTTGGACATTTTAACCTTTTCCCCGGACTAGATTGTATGACGTCAGAGGAAGGTATTGTGAATGTAAGGATAGTTGTATATTTTCTAGATGTACTCTGTACAGATGACCCTTCATTTAATGATGGTTTGGTTTACAGTTTTTCAACTTGGTAAGAGTGCAAAAGCCATATGCATTTAGTAGAAACTGTGCTTCAAATTTGAACTTTGGTCTTCTGCTGGGCTAGGGATATGTGGAACTTTTCTTTAGATTCTGGCTGCAACAGCTCCCGGTCAGTCTGTGGTCATGACCAATACTCTATGTATACTGTGTTCCTAAGTTATTGTGTTCTTTAGGTTACGCTTATTAAACACATTTTTGACTACAGTATTTTCAGTGTAATATGGGTTTATCAGACCTAATCATATTGTAAGTCAAGGAGCATCTCTGTATAATCAGGAGGATGGAAAATTTGTGACTAGAAGGGACCATGTTTTGCACAAAGAGGTATGTGAATGCAACTCATTTAAACAAGTTGTGTAAGGGGGTCAGAGGATACCATTTAGAAATCTTTGAAGAGGACTCAATAGGATGGTGAAAGGAAGAATCCATGGTTAAATTTTTTGCAAGCTTTATCATGTACTCTTTAGTCTATTCAGTCTATTATGAATGCTGTTTATAGTTTTTTTTTTTTAAAATTAATCGCATATGGTTAGTAGATATTTATTTTTTTTTAAATAAAAATGACTTGCTGGATTTTGTTTCCATTGACTTTCAGTTAATACTTTAGTATTATAATTCATCCTAACATTTCTTTACTTTGCTTATTTCTCATGAAATTTCTTTTAAAAGATTTTCTCCTCCTTGGCATACATTTTATTTGCTTTGATTGAATAGAAGAGAACATAGTTCTAGAAAAAAAATACAATTCTAGAATTAGGGAGAATGTTTAGGTGCTATCAATAATGTATAAATGAATTGATGGCTACTTATATTTTATTTGATTGGCCTGCTAGAATTCTACTAGTTTCCTGGATGATCTTTATATTTGTGCTTACAGTATTTTAAAAAATGTATTCTTAGAGTTGAGCAATCAGTAAATCTCCATTATTTGGCCATCAACTTACATAGTATTCATTTTGCTAAATACATTACTATAATTGTCACTGCCTAGGGAGTCCTAGAAATTAGGTTTGTTTGGGAAATACAAACTCAATTTAACTTCTCAGCATAATCTTGCTCATTAGAAATATAACACATCTTAAACATGAGTGGAATATTCTTTAAAAAAATCCCAAACTTATTTATTATTACATAGTATAGATTCTATAAATGTATTCTTTTCTTTATGTGTTTCTTGTTTATAGTTCATTATAATATAAATGCTATTATACATGCTGATCACTCTGCCAGGAACATACTGTTCCCTCCCTCAACTTCTAGTTTCTTCCCTAGTTAACCATAAATATTAGAAGCCAGATTAAATATTTTTATATTTAATGAACTACAATAAGATTTTTGTTCCTCACATACACATGTATGTACTACAGAATGCATTTGGAAAGAGTTTGAAAATCATTGAGGTCCCAAGGCTCTGAATAAAATAGGAAAAAGACTCTTTTGAATTTTTCAGAGCAAAAATCTTTATGATTTTGCTTAGATTAAAATCCTTTTGCAGCTGGGCTCAGTGGTACCTGACTATAATCCCAGTGGCTCAGAGGCTGAGGCAGGAGGATGATGAGTTTAAAGCCAGGCTCAGCAAAAGTGAGGTGTTAAGCAACTCAGTGAGACCCTGTCTCTAAATATACAAAATAGGGTTGGGTATGTGGCTCAGTGGTTCAGTGCCCCTGAGTTCAATCCCTGGTTAACCACCCGTCCCCCCCCCCCCCAAAAAAAAAATTCTTTTGCAGACTTTTAAAATCTTACTTAAATTATATAAGACTAGAATGGGAAGTTTTAAATTCTTTTATAAGAATATGATATCCTTTTGCAGTCTTTAAAATCAGGACATCATGGGAATAAGAGCCAGAAGATAAGAGTACACATATTCAAGTTATTAGTGCTTCACAAATATTGATAGTCTTTAATTTTGTTAGAAAATCACATGTAGTATCTGTGTTAAGTATGTTGTCCTTTTCTTGTTGGATTCCGCAAAATTAGCTTCTTTCACAGATGATATATGCAGTATGTTTTAGGAACACATAAGGACATGTACCAAATTATGGTTATTTTGAGTTGGGATATGGGGAAAAAGTCATGGAAATCTTGGAATTGATATCTAAGCTGAAACAGAAGGACATAGGGAAAATATTTAATCTGGCTTCTAATATTTATGGTTAACTAGGGAAGAAACTAGAGGTTGAGGGAGGGAACAGTATGTTCCTGGCAGAGTGATCAGCATGTATAATAGTATTTAGAGAATTTTACAGAAATGAGGCTACAGAGATTAGTGACAGTTGGACTAGAAAGGGCCAAATAAGCTCTGTCAGGATGTTTGGGTCTAATGCTGTAGAACCTGCCAAACCAGCCACTGAAATAACTACTATTTTGAATGGTGATGGCAATTTTGACTTTTTAAAAAATATATATATGTTAAAGATGTTGATGGATCTTTCTTTTATTCATTTATTTATATGTGGTTCTGAGAATT